ATTCAGGGAGTCTCCCTAATGGATTGAGGGGCGATTTTCACAATGTTAGCACATTCTAGTTCTTTGATGTTCCATATACATTTTAGAATCAACTTGCCAATTTCTATACACGCTCTTCCAGAAAATTTGTTTGAATTGCTCTGAAATCACGGATCAATTTGGAGAAAACTGGGATCTTAAGAATATTGTCTTCCCCTCCTTGAACATTGCGTGTGTGTGTGTGTGTGTGTGTGTCTTCATGTATAAACATGTATGTATTTAGGACATATATATTATGTAGATCTCTTTTTATTTGTCTCAGCAATGTTTTGTAGTTTTCAAATAAAGTTCTTACATGTATTTTTGAAATTTATTTCATGTTTATAATGTTATACTAAAGTGTACTTTTAAAAAATATTTTATTTTTAATTGTCTTTGGCTAACATGTAGAGATCCAATAGAATTTTCTAGTTTGAACCAATATGCTGCCACCTCCATTAGTCATTTATTGGTTTAGTAGCTTCTTTGTGGATAACTGTGGATTTTGTCTGTACTCAATCATGTTGTCTGTGAATAAAAACACGTTTACCTCCTCTAAGATCTGAATAGCTCTAATTTCTTTTCCTGTTTTTATTGCACTGGGAAGAGGCAGCAATATGTTTACTAGAAGTGGCGACAGCAGCCACTCTGCCTTGTTTCCAATGCTAGGGGAGAAAGTTCTCAGTCTCTCAGATTGTTGGGGGCTGATTCTGGCGTTATGCCTTATACTAATCATTCCCTATAGCCTGTAATGTGCGGGTGCTGCATCATGTAATGATTGTCAGCATTTTCTTCAGACATGGTTGCTGCCTCGTGACATGATAAGAGGCCTGAGTTTCTGCACGTCAGCAAATGCTGCCCGGCTCCCACACGGAGGGCCCCTGTGGTAGGAGTCTGGAGGCCGTATTAATAAAGAAAACACTCCCAAAACCTGGCTCCCGTTTGAAGGTTAATAAACAATGACAGATAAGACTGCTCACAAAAAGAGCGACCTAAGACACACACAACCATAGGGGTCAGCCACTGGCTGAGAGAGAGCCGCTGGCTAAAAAAAAAGCACACAAAGTCCTTCTGATGGCTGCATTATTTAACGTTGCTTAACTCGGCCTTGGCCTTTAAGTCATGTCTGGCACTAGCACCTCATGTAACCGTTTCGAGGTCTGAGACCATAAAAAATTATTACCTTATGAAACAACTCCAAAATTAACAGATATCGCTACTATGCCAAAATGCTCACATACAAAAAAAACTTAAATCTAAAAAATATAAAAATAAAATGACCATATATTAGACATTCAAGTCATTTCATGTCCATATGTGTCTGTGTTATTATTTTATGTTCTATGTCCATCTTATGTCCTATAATCAGGCCACAACACAGATCATAGTGGGATATTGCAGATCCCATCCTCAGAAAGTACGTGTTCTCTGCTATTTCCAGATTACTGAGAATTTTAATCACAAATTGGTATTAAAGTTTATCAGATGATTTTGCATATGGTTTTCCTACTTTGCTCCTTTAAAGGAATAAAATACATTATTTGTTTTTTAAATGTTTTAATTGTGGAAAAAACACATAACATGGAATATGCATCTTAACAATTTTTAAGCACAGAGTTCAGTGGTAATAAGTATATTCACAATATTGTGCAACACATCTCCAGAGCTTTCTTGTCTTGCAAAACCAAAACTCCACCCCATTAACTACAGTTCCCTAAGTCTTCCCATCCCCTACTTCCTGGTGACCACTGCTCTACTTCTGTTTCTACTTTAACTCAAGGAAGTGGAATCACAGAGTGTTGGTTTTTTTGGTGACTGAGAATTTCACTTAGTACGGTGTCCTCAAGGTCCTTCCATTTGGTGGCATGTGTCAGAAAGTCCTTTCTAAAAGGAAGAATAGTATTTTGTCTTCAGTTAGACATGTTTTTGTATATCCATGCATCTGTCACTGGAAACTTGGGTCACTTCCACTTCTTGGCTATTGTGAATAATTCTGCCATGGACACGGGTTTGCCAGCATGTGATCAAGTCCCTGCTTCCAGTCATTTTCATATATATGCACAAGGGCACTTGCTGATTTAGACTAATGCTGCTTGTGATTTATGAGGAATTACTTGCTCAAGTTACCCCTTCATTCCCTCGTCAGTTGCCATGTTATGCCCACAACACTCCACCTGGAGTCCCCTACTGAGCTGCCAACACGCGTGTCCAGCTGTATCCCTGGTGTCCCCACTCCGACGCCAGGTGGACTGTCAGGACTGACCCTGCCCTGCAAAGCCCTCCCTCCGCAGCCCCTGTGGACACAGCTCCCTTCCAGGAGCTAAGAGTATGACTCTGGATCATCCGTGTTTTCCAGTCCCCTGATGACCATGCCCATCATAAACCTTGTGAGCGTGACCTTCCACATGTCCCAAAGCACGTGCTCAGCCCGGCCCCACCCCTCTACTGCAGCCGTCCCTCCCCCTGATGGCGCCTTCCCAGTCTCCCTGACCAGGGCAGCCGAGGACCTGTCATGGTGCAAGTGCAGTCGTGTCTCTGCTGTCCCCAAAGGCTCCAGGTTCCTGGGTGTCAGCCCTGTCCTCCCCCTGCTCCTCCTCCTGCCGCCTCTGCTCTCACACACGGGCCCCGGAGAGTCCCCAGCACCCAGCCTGCCGCTGCCTCTGAGCACTTCGCTTGCTGTTCCCTCTTCCCTCCTCCTGCGACGCTGTTCCTGACTCACATGCAGAGCCTGACTCCTCACCGCCCTCACGCTGTGCCCAGACACCACCTCCTCACACCGTCACACGGAAACTGTCCCCAGTGTGTCCTATTCTCCTTTCTCTGAGTTATTTTCTCTCTAACCCAGGTAGCCACTCAGCATGGCCTCACATTCTTTATCCATTTTCACCCTTTTCCATCCAGTCTGCAGAGCAACAGCTCCCGACGACGGACCTGAGGCTGCGTGTGCGGACGCTCCCTGCACGCACAGTAGGGCTGGGACAGCGCAGGGGACACCAGCAGCCACCAAGGACCTCTGTTAGTGAATGGAGGGACGGCACCCTCCAGTTTGTGTCATACAAGACTCACGCACACACACACACACACACACACACACACACACACATACCTAGATGGCAGTGGAGACGGGGCCTGCAGGTGACCAGGGCTGGCAGAGATAGGGGTGGGGAGGGAAGGGTGTTTCAGGAGGAGGAACTGCACATGCAAAGCCTCAGAGTCACAGAGGACTTGACCCAGGGGTTGTGCAGACGCGTGGGGAGACGCAGAGAAGGGAGGGATTAGGAGGACAGTCCGGCAGGGGACAGACCCTGCGAGGCCCCCAGTCCCGGCCGTGGCGTTTGCACCTCGTTCTCCAGCAATGGGGGAGGCACGGCCGTCCACACTGCTCGGGGCCAGACAAGGACATATCTGGAGGCCCAGTCTGGAGGCCTGTGCTGGAGAGAGACAGAGGCAGGGGTGGGGTGGACTCAGGGAGCAGGGAAGAAGTGAGGCCCCAGGAATGACCAGGGCCGGGTGGAGAAAAGTGCTCAGGATGAGCCGAGCTCAGGAGAAGGAGGGACAAGAGTGAGTGACCCATGGGGTGTGGGGAAGGGGGTCAAGGTGGGGAACCTCACCCTGGATCTGCACATAGAGACTCAGCCACCCAGTCATCAGCCGGACGGGGGACCCAGCAGGACAAGGGGGCTTGGGGAGGAGATGGGGAGCTCAACTTGGCCATGCTGATCAGAGCAATCCTGGAGGCCATCACGGAGGAGGTGTCCAGTGGGTTGTGGGAGCTGAGACATCACATCACTCACCTGAGGAATTAGCCCGTGACAGTGTCTGCATCCTCCGTGCCCCCTGCTGCCCGGTGCACCTTCCCCCTGCGGGACCTCACTCTGAGGGAACAGACCAGGGCCTGTCATGGGGCAGGACCAGGGTGCAGAGGGCAGCAGCTGCACCTCCCTGGGCCCTGTCAGGGGCAGGAGGGGACTGAGGAGGAGAGAACAGGTCAGACCCCAAGGCCCCCTCGATGACAGCAGGAAGTCCCCCCTGGACCCCCGTCCAGAGCTGGGAACAGACACACTGGCCGCGTGGGATCTCACCACCCGCTCAGCCCTGCTGGCCCAGGCCCTGTCCCCTTTCTGGTCCCTCCAGCACAGGGCGTGGGGATCAGGTTGTGTCCCCAGCCCTCCCACCCCTGCCCTTGTCCCTGGGGCCGTGCTCACCGGAGGAAGATGAGGCAGAGGCAGAGAAGCAGGATCTTCACAGCAGATCCCACGACGGCCACCAGAGTCACCTCTGCCACGGGCCCTGGTTTCCCTGAGGACAGTGGGGTGAGCCGGCTTCCCCTCGAAACCACAGTCCGCGTCCTTCCTCCCCCACTGGGACTCGGCTGTGGGCTCCCCAGGCCTCGCTGCGTCCCTGGGTGTGGGGCCACCTCAGCACAGGGCTGACCCACCCCTGCCAGGATGGACCACAGCAGGTGGAGAGCTCTGGCCCCGGGGACACTCTGGGCTCACAGCTGAGTGTGACCCTGAGTGGGGCACGGCCCTCTGACCCCACTGAGCCCAGGGGCTGCTTGCTCGGTGACCCAGGGGCTGCAAGTCATGGCTGGGGTCTGGTGTGCAGCCCCTGACACTCACGCTGCAGGGAGAGGCTCAGGGAGACGTGCTGGGTGCCCAGAGGGATCTGAGCTCGGCAGGTGAATTCTCCTTCATCCCTGAGGTGCACTCGAGCCAGCTCCAGCAAAAGAGGTCCCGAGGGTTGTGAGGGATACAGGGTCAGGCTTTCCCGGGTCCAGCTCAGCCTGGCAGGGGGGTTGCTGTTGACACCACAGACCAGGCACAGGGACTGGCCCTCCAGCACTGGCAGAGATGAGCCGTTCTCCAGGACAGTGGGTGCTATAGAGAAAGAGACAGAGGGTCAGAGTGACAATTCTGTTGAGAGAAAGAGGAATGTAGAAAGAGATCGGGAAGAGCAAAAGACTCAGACATATGGACGTAGACTGAGAGAAACAGACTCTGTGAGATGGACCCAGAGAGAGATGGAGCACGAGCCCGAGCCTGGCTCCGGCCCCAGTTTCTCTGTGCTGGGCGATGTCAATTCTCCTCTGCACCGATGGGTCCTGTTGGGCTGGACTGTGGCCCCAGAAGTCACAGAGGAAGGGGCTCGGGCTCACAGGACACCCAGATATGACGTCAGTTCAGGCCCACGTTCCAGGCTCTCTTCACTGCTCTTGCTGACGGCTCAGAATCCAGGTTCACCCGAAGAGTCTTGATCTCTCTCCAGCCCTTCCCGTGACAGCGGTTCACTGAGTTATCGTTGTGCCTCTACGTGGGGCTCACTCCAGAAATTCAGAGTCTGGGGGAGCAGGGGCTTAGAACAGCTGCCCTGAAAGTCACATGACACGTGGTGGAGGGGACTCAGGCTGCACCAGCCCTGGACAGTGTAAATGAGAAGACCCAAATGCTGTGGGTCAGGAGGGCTTCCTGGGGGAGGCACATCTACTTGGCACCTGGAGTAGGGTGTGAAGGACCAGCAGGCGGCTAGAGGATGAGGGGGAAGGGAGTTCCAGGCAGCAGGAACAGACAGTGCAAAGATGACCAGGGCCTGAGCCAGTTCAGGAAAATGTGAATAGACCTGGGGGTCTGGGGTTGGACGTAGGGTGGAGCACGGGGTGGAGTCCAGAGACAGGACACAGGAGGAAAGCAGGGAGATTTGTTTTCATAACCTCACAGTGGGGAACCAAAGCATTGATAAATGTAGCTAAAAAATAAAGAGGTCCCTGAACGGTGTGAAAATCATAGACATCCAAGGACAAACCCACCTGGCATATTGGGAAGTGTATTTACAAAAACATCTCAGGCAAAAATGCTGACTTCTCAAACTGAAAAGAACTTCCAAGAATCAATAATTAAGGTCAAGCCACTCTTGAAAACTGAACAAAGACTATGAACAGACAGTTCCCAGAAGAAAAGAAATACAGATCTCTCTTTGTGATAGAAACAGATGCACAACTTTATTCATAATAAAGGAAATGCTCCTTAAAGCTCCATGGAGATTCCGTCACCTGCTATTGGCAGAGATCAAAGGTCCCATCACACTGGGTGGTGAGGCTGGGGCAACACTCGCACATCCACTCCTCCCTGCTGGAAATCTAAACTCCTGTATCCCGGAAGGAGAAGAACTTAGGGTGTGTCTCAATATTAGACCCAGCTCTTTTGCATTTGGACAGACACAAAGCCATTGTGAAAGGAGGTACAAGATTATTCATGGCAGCATTTCTGTTGATAGAATAAAATTAGTGCCTTGAGGTTTCACTAAAATAGAGTGTGTCCAAAACCAGAGTCCACCCATGCAGGGAGACACCACACAGCCCCACAGGAGCACGGGGACAGTCTGCAAGACTGACGTAAAACCACCTCTGAGGTCCTGCAGGTGAACAGACCAAGGCTCGGAGCAGCCTGTGCAGGCCTGGTGGGTTCAGCGGAGGAGACGGGACTCTGAGGACTCACTCTGCTGTGCACTTGGAATTGTCGCCCATGAGACCGTATCACCCACCCATAAGTGCGTAAGCTATTGGGCAAATAGACAGACGAGGCTGAAGGGGTGTTCAGGACACAGATGACAAGGGGCCTGAGCTCGGCCCTGCTGTGAGTGTCGCCCTGTCCTTGTTGTGAGCCGAGGGGGTGTGCAGGTGTCTGAGGGTAGGGAGGGGCCCTGGGTCACCATCAGGGAGTCTCAGGTAACCCTGTGAGTCCAGGTGAGGAGGACGCGCCTGCCCTGATGGAAGAGACCCAGCTCCCGCAGCCCAGGGAGGGCCCCGTCCTACCTGATCCGTCTCCTCGGAGGACGGTCACCGTCAAGTTCTGAGGAGAGTCTGGGGAAGAGAGACACAGCAGCCCCAAGTCACTAAAGAGGGCTGGGTGGATGCTGGTCTCTGTCCCCAGGAGCCACATCAGGGGGGAGAGTGGAGCAAGCCTCCTCCTGACCATCCCCTCCTGGACACAGGTCCCAGCACCCCGTGTGCAGCCCTGACCCCATCCCGCTGCCCTGGGGACCCCAGCAGGACCCCAGATTTCCCAGCCCAGCTCTCACAGGACACGTTGAGATGGACGGTCCTCGTTGTGGTCACACCGGCCCCAGGCAAGGTCACCTGGCAGGTGAGGCTGCTGCCGTGGTCCTGGGGCTGAGGGACGAGGGTGAGCACCGAGGAGCGGCCGATGGTGGGGCCCTGGGGAGCCACGGAAGCCCCCTCCCAGGAGATCCTGGGCCGCGTCCCCTGCTCACAGACCCAGGGCACAGAGCAGGTCAGGGTGCTGGGGCGGCCGCACTCCAGGGTCCCCGGGAGGAGGATGTCGGGCGTGTGGGTCAGGGCTGGGGAGGAGAGGGGGACACGCAGGGTCAGGAGGGAGGGTCCAAGGTGGGGCCCTGAGAGGACTCAGGCTCTGGTCCAGCTCCTGCCCTGAGCCCCACACGCTTCACCCCAGGCCCTCCCAGCACGGGGTCCCAGCCTGGCCCTGCCCTGCGGCCCAACCACCTCCCCAGTGGGCACCTGGGGATCCGGAGCCTTACCTGTCACATGTACAAAGAGCTTGTTTTCTACATAGCTCCATTTCAACCTTCCTCGCTCCACCCGAAAAAAGTATGAGCCCTGGTCCCTCCTTGTGGCGTCTCTGATGCTCAGGGAGCAGTTGTTGCTCCTGGGATCCCCGAGGAGGAGGAATCGGCCCTGGGTCTCCTCCTGCACTTTCCCAGCTGGGTTGTTCGTGGCCACTGAAGCGCCATGGTGTGGATTGGCCCCTTCCCTGAACCAGTAGCTGTGAACTGGGTCAGAGTGGTTCCAGCCGTGCCGGGGATAGTAGAAGGAGCAGGACACGTGGACACACAGGCCCTCCTGCACCGTCACCACACTCTGCACTTGCAGCCTGTAACCTCCCCTATCCCCTCCCCATCCCTCCACCCCCGCTGTTCCCCAGAGCAGGGCCAGCAGCAGCAGCATGTCCGGGCTCAGGTGCCAGGGCCACTGGGGACAGTCTGCTCCTCGGGGTTCTTCTCTCGGGAACTGAGAGCTGCAGGACTTAGAGGAGGCCCCACAGGAAGACGGGGTGAGATCAGAACCCTGACCCTCCTCAGAGGAGGAACTTCATATAATGACACTGTGAGGACCAGGGCAGGACTTAGAGATTGTCACCACCCACATCCACTCCTGGGGATCCTGTGCCCAGACAGGGTGACAGTCACGAAGGTTCCCACCCCATGCAGACCCCAACCACATCTACCTCCCTGTCAAAGTCCTTCCTCCCAGGTGACATTTTCAGGAAGATGATGATAATGGGTCCCATCTGGCTGGACCAAGAGTCCTGTATTGCAGATGTTTGTGGGGTCAGGGGTGGGACTGAGGGACATGGCCGTGGTGGTGGCCCAGGCGGGGTGGGCAGTTGCCTCCTCCCAACTCAGCACCACCTGTGGCCGTCCCCTCTCTGCACATGGAGGTCAGCACAGCAGACCCAGGCGCTGCCCTCATGGAGTCACTGTCCAGCTGGGGAAACATGAGGTCTCCCGGCACCTGGAGCCCCTCACGACAGCAGCTGGGACTCTGTGAATATGGGTGTTTTGTGTGTTTCAAAGCTCCATGAGTAGATGCACACATATTTAGAATTTGTTTCTTATTCTGATGGTTAAAACTTTGATCTTTATAATTTTTTCCCCCACAATTAAAATTTTTAAAAAAAAAACCAAATAATGTTTTTATTCCTTTAATTGGACAAATTAGGAAACTTATGCAAATTTATCTACACTCTTAATACAATTTATGATTAAAATTCTCAGCAATCCGGAAATAGCAGGGTACGGTGTACAGTCCGAGGATGGGATCTGCAATATCCCACTTTGACTGAAAGACTGAGAACTTTGTGGCCTAGGATTGGAAACAAGGCAAGAGTGGCTGCTGTCACCAGTTCTAGTAAACATGCTGTAGCCTCTTCCCAGTGCAATAAAAAGAGGAAAAGAAATTAGAGCTATTCAGATCTTAGAGAAGGAGGTAAACCTGTTTTTATTCACAGGAAACATGATTGAGTGCAGACAAAATCCACAGTTATCCACAAAGAGCTACTAAATCAATAAATGACTGAATGAGCGACGGTAGCATATTGGTTCAAACTAAAAATTTCTTTTGGATATCTATATGTTAGGCACGGACAAGTAGAAATAAAATATTTTAAAAAAGAGTTTACAGTAACCTTATGAACAGGAAATAAATTTAACAAATGCATGTAAGACCTTTATTTGATAAATATAAAATATTGCTGAGACAAAAAGGAGACCTAGATAATACATATGTCCTAAAGACATACATGTTTACACACACACACACCC